ATAGTGTCTTTGGAGAAAATGTGTATTTTATGTCGTTTTCGTTTTTGCGGTGTAGCACTGGTGTAGTGTAAGCAGGAATAAGCGCGAGTCTTTGACAGCTCAACATCATTTGTTTGTAAACAAAGGTGCATCCTATATCTACACCCTAAAATATTTCGGTGTACGGCAGTGTAGCACCGGTGTAGCTACACCGCAAAAACGAAAACGACATTAGTATTAACTACAATCACTCTGAACATAGTAGGCCGAAAAAGTGATGTTTAAAAAAATATGACAGAAAACATTGTTTTCTCAAATGGCTTATATCTCCAAATATAGAAGAGATAAACGAAAACGATGTTCTAATAAGTTTTCGAGTTTTTATAGTTCACAACTGTGTAGAACATTTAATTTCTCTAGCTATTGAAATAAAAATAGTTAGATACCAAATGACGTTCCTGGTATAATTTGGCGTTTAGGTTTTATTCATGTGTTTCACTTATACATTTTTGCCAAAACATCAGCCTTATACATTCCATAAGACAAACCACATAGGTCCTATAAGAATGCATAAAAGGTATGTGTGACTGCTTATACATTTCATTTGACACATGATCTTCATTAACTTTTTGCAAGGCATCTGCTTATTAGTTGACTTATACATTTTATGAATAATCAACAATAGAAAATTGCCAAAATGCATAAGGAGATTTCTATCCGTGTTCGACGATTTTTTACAGTGAGAAATATTCAATGTGTTATGTCTGTTTGTCTGTAGAATTATGTTCAAAGTCGCTAAAAATCTTTGAATTGCCTCTGAATTGACGTCACTTGAATTTTACATGGATGAGTTTAGATGGGCTCACCTTGTAATTATACAGGAAATTTAGAATTTCATGCATTTCACTTTTTGAACGAATTTGCATAAAATCGAAGACAACTCTTCCATTTTCTCATACGCTATGAGACAGGTACAATCGCGTCATCTGCTGCTCAAAGGTTGTTGTCTTCGATAAAATTGAACTGTTTGTCAAGTACACATCAAAAAATAAAATTTTAATATTACATCCAAGAGGATGCACTTCTATCATCTCGAAAATCTCATGTAATTTTTATGGCCACAAAAATAAACAAATGCAGTAAAAGTAGCGTAATGTCAGTTCATGCACTGTATTAATGATAATTTTGTCCTTTTTGGCAAGTAATATTACACCATATTGTTGACATGATTGAAGTGCATTCACTTTGATGTGATATCAAAATTAATGTTTTGCTGTGTACGCGGAATTATCACAAACGCGGAATAACCCGCCTTCACGGCACAGTACATACCCTACACTTACACCACTGCATCAAAACGATCAGTCAAGTGAAAAAAGGAACCACGAGCGCATTTTTGAATGTTTTTTCTATTTTTCCATATCACTTTTTTTGATTTTCTGAACGAAGGTTAGAGTTAGTGCTCATGTCCCAACCACTAGAGGAAAATGTAGCATCACCTCACCTTTACTATATGCACATTCTCAAGCATTGTTTCGCAACCGGAGCATCCCTCGTTCATGCAATTTTTCCACTAGTTGCTTTTCCCTCTATCTGTCAACACACCAGATGTGTTGAATAAAAACAAATCAGATGCAAGCGTGTGAAGTCGGTTTGATTGAATTTTGCACCGGTGGTGCAGTCGTAAGCATGACTGCTTTCTCATGCAAATGGGTCTGGGTTCTATCCCCGCTGAGGTTGGTGGCATTTTTCTGAGGCATAAAAATCTGTGGTCACGTCTTCCTTCGGAAGGGAAGTAAAACCGTTAGTCCCGGCCATGTGTGTTGAATTGGTGCGATATCCCACACAGGTGTGGAAGCTGCCGTCCTGCACATTCGATTGCCGTCAATCGATGTCCGTCGGTGATTGGCACTAGACTGTGGAACATAGATCGACGTTTAATAAAGAAATGCAGAAGAAGAAGATTTAATTTTGCAGAAATACGGATCCATAGGAAATATTCACAGAAGCTCAGACTTTTATTAGGAATTTGGTTTGTTTGTTTAGTACCATTTTTCTTTTACTGGAAAACAAGTTTTCAAACGCATCACTTATAAGTGACATTCCTACCACCGCTCATCACTTTAATGTGTACACAGCACACAAATATATTATATAAATCTATTGATGGTGATGTATTGAACATCAATAACTGGTAAACGTTTATAAAATATTACAGTCATCAAAACGATTTGTTCTCAAATTCTGTGTACATCATACAGCGTAATATTACACAAGCGGAATAACAAATGTGCAGCAGTTTGGATGAAATATTGAACAACTTTTTATTCTGTATTCGATAGATGTAGTGTGTCTCCAGTGTCTGCCTTGGTCACTAATAATTTTCAAGAGCTAACATCTACTAAATTTACCTTACATATAACTGGCATCCCTTATGTATGTTTGCCTGTGGTTCCATCATGATATAATCAGAAATGAAAAGGTCATTTTAAGTACCACCAACAATCAATTCGAAACTAACGATTTTAAATTGGCTCACTACTTGACTAGCCTATTGGTCCCAAGCAAATCGATTACCGCACCCCATTCTAGTATAAATTCCAGTACTACACTATGTTTGTGTTGATTCGCTATGAAAGTTTGACAGATCAAATGAGGGGTTCGTGGATTTTTCTATGTTTCGAAGGGTGCATCGATAAGCTTGAGACCGAAGAGAGTACCAGAGCTGAGCCAACAAGTTGAGCTCGTTTCTTCGGGACCTTCTGGTCTTAGAGTTATCTCTATGGTACCACCCTATTTGCAACTTTCATCAAAACAAAGGCCTCATTGTATACAACAGCTTCACAGAAAACACTATGCTGGTAAAGTTGCACTTTAAAGGGGTCCAAATTTTAATTCCAGGACCACACCAGGCACAGGGCATTGGTATGAAATATTTTTATAAGCATTCAGGGAAAAATATGGAACGATAAATGGATCAGCTTTAAGGACAAGTTTGATATAATACACAAAAGGCCACTATCATGGCACAAGGCAAATCAGTCATGACAACGACCATTTGACATCTCACTGCGTCCTAGCAAGAAGTACGGTCGACTTGTTTCGCGCTCCGTTGTTTTGGAAGTTTTCTCGGTATTCGCTTGATATAAATTATCAGTTTTTTCTCACTAAGTGACTCAATTCGCCTATTCATTTCCTTGGGACAGTTAAGAATTTCCTTCCAACAACTTGATCAGCCAATTGGTCAGAAAACGAGCCATCCAACAGGAAGATGCCCCAATTAATAGGGAGAAGAGCCCACCCTTTATCCACGAAATGTTAGCAATAGGGAGTTGACATGTTCACTCTCACTCGCTTCAATATTATGTTCAATATTATGCACATATAAAATATAAAATATAAATTTGCATTAAACATGAGTAATTTCATGGAATATTCCATATACTGTATGAAAACTTATGTAATGTGGGACAACCCGTTAGGCTGTTCTCTCTTGCTTTTTGTAACATTTACCAAATCTGATAAAAGTGAAATATATCTGAGGAAATTATTGATCCAATGCTATCATTGTCTCTTTTTTTATTTTTTTTTTTTATTTTGCTACTTATTCCCCTCTACACACTTAGAAATAACTAATTTCACACGTGACGGAATCCATCTTTGACATAAAGGATCGGACGTAAACAAATATTTCCTGTAAAATTAAATGCTTCAAGACTGAAAAGTCCATTACTCGACGAAAAGTACGTTTGATTGAGTTGAATTTCGCGTCTGCTATGACTCTATTTTATGTAAAAAATGACGCTCGTATATGTCAGTCTCAGAGCACCTAAATTTACATGATTTTTTCTAAGTGTGCGCCAACCATCAATAAAACAGAATCAAGCACTAAAACAGACTTAAAATCCCCAAAAATAAAACATTAAATTGAAAAGGCAAAAAACGACAAAACTGTCATTAAAACACCAAAAACGCTCCAAAATTAAATGATAAAATAAATATAAAGAACTATAATGATATAAAAAAAAATTTACAACAGCTCTAACAAATGACCAATAATCAGCAAAATGCTTTAAAATACTTAAAATTTGCTATAACACATCAAAATATTATAATAACAATAACATAGCTTTCAATACGCCAACATAATTTTAAAATTAAATAATTGAATCGAAGTTAAACGACCCTAAAAACTTAAAGAATGGCCCAAATCCGTTCAAATGACCTTTGAGTGGCCAAACATCGCAATATTGAATCTAAACGTCAGAATAGCCCTGAAATTAAATGATAAAATAGCCTAAAACACCAAAATCAACCTTATAATGGGCGAACCAGCCGATGGTTGAAAGCCATGAAAATAAAAAAGAAAAAACTTATAATGCGAAAATAAACCCCAATAGACCCCAAAATTACTTTGAAAACTCCCATATGTACTCGAGAACAGTAAAATGGTCTAACAAACGCTACAATGTCCTAAAACCGGTAACGAGAATTGAATTCATACAATTGTTTTCTACATTTTTCTAATAACCCGAGATGTCTGAATTCCTGCAACCCATCGAAAAATAGCCCGAGATTGAGAAACGCAGTTTTAAACTATAGATTAATTATAATTTGTTTAGAACCCACTTGTCGCAATGTACATTATCTGATACTTAGATGTGACTTTTCTCAGAAAGTGACGTCAGAAGAAGTAAGCTGAATCTTACATTCCACACAGTACACAAACATCCTAAAGTAAGTAAACTACAGAATGACTAAACTTTGTCGCTCTATATGCAAAACATTTGTCGTATCTGATGAGCACTGATGAGTACTATTACCCATTGTCACCACTGAATATACAAAATAGGCACTGATATCAGCGTGAATCCCCCGCCACTACTGGTCGCCGGCTAATTTCTATGCATAGACTTTCCAACCATCCACCAACCAGCTAACGACACAGCGGGCAAACCGCTGCCGCTTTGCTTTTTGCCGAAAAACTCTTAAAACTTATTAGTCCATTTAGAGGTACTTACATAATTTTATGTTAATTGCAAAATTCCCACGGAGATAACTTGCGTATTATTCCTACTGGATAGGAGATCGATCCGCGTTGCTGTCTGCCGGCGGGATAAAGTCGTCTCGAAACTTCGAGTTCGCGGAAAATACACAAATCACTGAACGACGAGGATTCTTCAATTGAGTTAGCAAACTTTCTAATTTGTTCTACCGGTGCGTTCGTCCGTCGGTTTTAAAATATCACCACGACGCGGTTGTTGCTACCTTCACAATGCAGAACAGCCGAATTCAGCACGGAAGTAAATCTTTCCCCACAGGAACAACTCACTGAAACCAAACCACTGCACCTGTTTGCCGTAGACAAGAAATCCGTTTCACTCTGAACACTTTAATCAAACACTTCCAGCAAGTTTCTTTACTTATTAGCCTTTGAACGTGCTCGAGAAAGGAAATTTAAAATCTTGGGACACTGTCGCCACGCAGTTGCCCTCCGAATAAATCCCTATGCCCAACGAACGGCTGCCAGCGCCGTGATCTTCAATTCTTCACTTCCCTCTTCCGTTTTCCCAACAACTCGAAAAGTAGCAATTAAATCACTCGCCGTTTACTCTCAATGCACTTAACACTCATACACTTTTATCTGAGTCGAAGCGAGCTCGGACCATTCCTTCTTGAGGCGATCCTCGATGGCCCACTTTTTGTAAAGTGTCCTGTAGCCGTAAGCACCTCTATGCCTTCCACCGAGGTGTATTCAACAAGTGTTATTTCAACGACGTCCTTCCAGCAAATCGTAAAACTCACCAACGTGTATACCCTTTTATAAACGATTTTCCACCGCCCGTTCAACGCTGCACCCACCACCCACCTATTTTTGTGTAGCACCAATACATCATGGACACGGCTTTTCCGGCTGCCGCAATGTCTTATGCTCTCATCGCTCACACCCACTACCGATTAAGGAGGCATGATGCGTATAGCTGTCCATCGCGTTGATACACTTTTCACTTCGGCGGGAACTTGACGATACATATAGTGCAACGTGTTCGGTAGTCCGCGCAGTCGGTGTAACATGTGTTGCATCGCTCCGTTATGTTGAGAGCTTAATTTTGTACCCGGACAAGTGTTGCGCGACATAAGTTTAGTAGGTCTAGCGCATATTCAATCCACTCGGACTTGCGGCGAATTCAACGAAAAGCTTTCTGTGGTGCAGTTCACGGTCAATGAGATTAACCCAAATTTAAGTTCAGTTTACTCGTAAATCGCAAAGAGTGCAGGAGCTCAGCGATGAGTAAATTTGCCTCATCGATGACGTTTTCATGTTGATTTTTTTTCAACCCCCGAGTATCTAGACAAAAAACCTTAGTATCACGTACCCACTTACAAACTGTAGATGTCACCGTACGTAAACAATGGGATCCCCTAATAAAACTGGTATGGTTAATTTGCTTAACGACGTGTTCGGGGTATCATCCAAACCATTTGTGGAATAGTTCAATGATTTTGGTTATCGTTCGGTTATGGTAATTTTTAATTAGGGTCAGCCATCGTTGGTGGCACAACTTTTTTCACATTTCTAGATCAACAATAGAAAAGGATGAAGTAATGAAACAATCCAATTTCATTACTTCATTATGATGGCTACTAAGCCTTTGGGGATTTTCATTATTAGATAATTGTATAGATTTTTCTCCTTTACTTTGCTTAAATCTTTGGTTATTATAGGTTATTATTAGTTAGGTAGGTTCCGATTCTACCCGTTGTAGTTTCATTTTTATATCTGAGATCTTTAATTTTTTACCTAGGTGATGAGTACTTAAGGGGGTTGATAAGTCTTTAACGGGAATGACACTGATTAAGACTGCACATTGTAGTCTAAATCGAGTTCAAAATACGCATCTGTCATTAGACTGGCCCACATTTATACGAAAAAAAAGGTACGATGTAGGTACGACCACAAGCCTGTCTGTAGGTATACATTATTTGCTATTTAAATGAAGATGTAGATACGGCCCTATTCAATGTAATGTAGAAACAGTGACAGTGAGAAAGTAAATTACTGTAACGTTTAATAACAATTATTCTCATGGATGCCTTAAGTGTTTTTAAATGCAAGTGCATCCGAAACAAACTACGTTACTTAACACCAGCATTAATTCAAAAAATGCAATCTATGGGATATACTCACCAACTGAATGTACAGATGCGCATTTGTGAGTCATGCCGTGCTTTGGTTCAGCACAATAGATATACATCCAAAAAACCGCGCTCGGATCTGTGCGATCCACAAACATCCACATGTGGGTATGAACCACCAACAAGTGATGAACAACCATCAACAAGTGGCCACCAACCTGATGATAAACCAGGTAAGAATACTCAGATCGATAATTTAAATTTACACCTTTTTTAATTGTAGGCTAAAAAAATACTTGTTTAAACCTTGCACACTTATTAATTCATGTTTTACTTTTCTTGTCTTACAGAAGTACCGTCAATTCCATCATTAGAATCAATTGCATCAGCGGACCAGTTATAGGGACCATATAATGTGGAAATATTCAATAGCATCGTCCACACATTGAATGTTTCACCAATTTCATTAAGGAACATGAGGACCATGGATTACCGTGTAACAAAATCAGCAAACATCACACAAGCAGTACTACAGAAAATGTTTAATATGGACCCAACAGACATCAGGAAAGCAGAAGCATTCGATGAAATGGTAACACAATTAAAAAATAAGTTTAATTCATCTCCTGATGATAGAAATGAGCAGATAAAAGTTTTATCAGTGTTACCGCACTCTTGGTCAATAAATAAAATCCTTAGAAGAGTTCAATGCACCGGTATATATGGTAAGACAAATGAAAAAAATAGTGAAAGATCAAGGTATTCTTTGTACCACTAGTGCACGAAGTAGACACGGAATCAGTGAATTAGACAAAAGACTGTTATAGATTTCTTTGATAGTAATGATATAAGCAGGTCAATGCCTGGAATTAACGATTACGTGTCTGAACTCCGAAATGGCCTAAAAGAACGGGTTGAGAAGCGACTTCTTATGATGTCTCTCAAAGAGGCATATACAATATTTGAAGAAACGTATGCGAGTATTAAAATTGGCTTCACCTTATTTACAACGTTGAGATCTAAACATTGTAAGCTACTTGACAGTAAAGGTACTCATTATGTATGTGTGTGCACAATCCACGAAAATGTAAAATTAATGCTTAATAGTTTAGGAATCGTATCCCAGGAAGAAATATAATGGATAAACTGATTTGCAATTTTTTTTTATTAGGACGACAGAGTGTTATTTTCGAGCTTGCAAAAAATGTGCCACCAATGATGAAGTTGCAGACGAACTTGCTGCACTATTAGAAGAAAGTGGTAAAGAAGATGTAACTTGCAGAACATTATGAAACCTGCAGATGAGTTTGCCACGTACTTCGTAGATAAAATTGATCAGTTAATATGAGTGTCATGAGGACTTTATTTGTAAAGAACAATCTTTATTTCTAAGGAACAAAAAAGATTCTCTAAAAGAAGATGTATTAATTGTAATTTGCGATTTATCTGTGAACTATACATTTATTATTCAGAATGCTGCTCAGGGTTACCATTGGAATAACGCTCAGGCAACTATTCACCCTTTTTTGGTTTATTATATTAAGGACAGTAAAATAGAAAACGTTAGTTTTATAATAATATCAGAGGTATTGGCCCATGATAGAATTCTTGAAACTATCAATAGATTTCTCCAAAATTACATTTATGTTAGGGCTGTTCATAAACAACGTATACAGTTTTTTGGGATTCTTGACACCCCCCTCCCCCTGCGTAGACAATTGTCCATACAAAAAATTTAAAATTTGTATGGGCCGTGGATAATTGTCACCCCCCCCCCCCTAAACTGTCTACGTAGTTTATGAACATCCCCTTAGATGGAGCAGCTGCTCATTATAAGAACAGAAAAAAATGCCAGTCTATGTAACTTCAAATCGATGCACAAATTGAAAGCAGATTGGCATTTATTTGCAACATCTCATGGCAAAGGTCCCTGTGATGCTATTGCCCGACCAACCATTCGTGAAACTTCTTCAAAGTTCTTTATACAGAAATAAAGAATTATGTCGGCAATTCTTTACTTTAAATTTTCTATGATTTCGATGTACACATTTAAAAATCTTTATTGATCGATACTTACATTTAAGATTATTTCTTCATCGGTCATATGATAGTAATCTATAAAGGTGCCATACTAAATTTCTTTTAATTTCGATATGTCACATGGACTTTAGTATTCTTTACAAATATTCATCAATAAATATTTAAATGCTGATATCATCGTAACTTTGAACTTTGATAAAGAACAACAAAGATTGCCATCGATGCACATTTATAATCTCCTTGTTATCGATTTGCATCGCTGGTTGAAGAGAATTCGAGACACACCAGGTGACAGATGGCAATGTTTATATTATTTATCGACATATTCGGCATTTCATCGGAAGAAGCAATCTGCCGGTAAATGAATGAGAAGACCAATGGCCGCGACGCAGCAAATGTTTACCATTGTACCCAACAAACAATTTGAGTTGATCAACAGCTGAATAAGTAATTTTTTAGCTGAAGAAGCTCGTTTTTGCCTCAATAAGCTTTTATTCAACATTCAATGTTTGTTGGGTAGTTCTTCAAGTTTACGTCTATATATTTATTTAATATCCCGTGATAGCATGCGTGGTGGGATTCTCGGCATTTGGAACCCAATGAGTAAAATTGATACCTTTTTTACCCCTTTTACACCTACATGGCTGACTGGTTGATGGTTATGACAAATAAATATTGAAATCATGTATGAAAAGATTTACAGAAATTTCAATACACCACATACTAGAGTGTGTTTGCCTGTCGTTGATAAGCTCATCAACAGCAGCCGTGGACCCGAGGATTAGCAACCAACAACGAAATCAGTACACCCCAGATGGCATGGGATCGAAACTAGAAATTATGCAGATAAAAAATCACAAATAAAATCAGCAGTTGTGTATCGATATTTTGATTTTACAACAGAAATCGATATTTTGATCTGGCAACACAATCGATATTTTAACATTGGTAACGATTGGTAACGATATTTTAAGAAAGATCTTTATAAACGATTCACGATTAGACTTTTAGCACCTTTACAATTATTCATGAAATGGTGACGATCGCTATCAATTTTTCTTATGAATGGCTTTGAAGATCGATGTATAGAAAATTAACGAAATGGTTGGTCGGATGGTGGAACTTTAAAACAAACGGCAAAAAGAGCAAGCCTTGCCCAAGAATACGGAAATACTATTACAACCCCACGAGAGCTCTGCGACTGGGCAGTTAAACAAACAGAGAAAAGCATCACAAAATTGAATTTCTGTTATATATCTACTGAGCAATACGAAAAAATGTCAGAAGAACTAGAAGACAACCACGCAAAGACGATATCTGGTACACAAAAATTTCACAGTTTTCAGCCTATTTCCGATAATCAAATTGCAGCTAAAAATATTCTAATTCAACGGAGCATCCAAAAAATACTTTGTTTGACAATGTGAAGAAATAATATGTATAAGTTATTCTCTAAATAAGATAAAATAAAACTTTATGAAATAAGAACACAATTTTTTCATACTCTGCCAATTAAACATAACATTAAAATTAAATTTTCTATATAATTCACATTAGTATTGAAAACGTCTTCAACATCTTGGTTTGTGTACCTTTCATTTGAGCTTGTTGAGTGAAATCCGGTTGAGTGGTAGGTTTCACAACTCCGTGTTGGGAGTTCCTATCAACCGTGCGCCTATTTCGAAAAACGGAAAAACAAACAAAATCGATCAAAAGTTCATCAGTCAGCAAAGCCGCAAAAGGCAAAACGCAACGCGTCATAAAATGCGTAAGCAGGACAGAAAACATCGCATCGCATCTCAAACTTCAACGGGAAAGAACGAGGCAGCATGAGAAGCTTCCAGCGTAGCAACAACGCCACCAGTCGAAGCGAGAGCGAAGAAAAATAAAATTTGACAAAACGCGTCGTCTTCTCTTGTACTGTCGTTTGGGAATCTGCACCAGGAAAGAAGAGCGGAAGAAAAAGTGGATTTTTAATCAGTTTTGTGCCGATAAAAATGCAGAAATAGTTCACTAATCGCTGGAAATTTGTTGCACGCATCAAGTGAAATTAATTTAAGGACGAAAAGGCTGTGCGCGTTTGTGGAAAACAGATCGATTCATGTTTGGCGCCGCGATGTGAAAAGCAAGCGATTAGCAAATTCGGAACAAACTCCGGCAGTGCTGTCAGGAGACGCAAGGAGGATAAAGTTAAAAGTGGCAAGAAATCGATTCCCGCGGGTGAATGAGAGAAAAAAGTAGGAAATAATATTGGCTCGAACTTGCTAGAAGAACTAGAACGAAAGTGTTTTGGTCCGCGAATTTGACGTTTTCGTGGTAGGAAAAAAAATCCTGATCGATTAGGAGCAGTCGATTGCAAAATACGTGGGCTGGTTGACTCACAGGATATTTTGTAATGTCCGCATCTGGAAGCTCATCTCCAAACAGCAACAGCAACAATATTTCCAGCAGCAGTGGCAACAACGGTACGGAAATTAGCTCCGACAGACGAAGTAGCAACGGTAATTCCAGTGCCGGAAGGACTCCCCGCAAATTGACGGCCGGTAGCTCGGCGGGGAGTAACGGAACTTCCGCCAGCAGTAACAGCAGTTCCTGCATCTGGTGTGGCGAAAACAAAAACCCGCTCAAGTACGTGCTCCCGACGCAGAACGGGAAAAAAGAGTTCTGTTCGGAAACCTGCATCCTTGAGTTCCGTAAGGCTTACAGTAAGGGCGCTTGCATCCAGTGCGATAATGTGATACGGGCTAATGCACCGAAACCAAACTATTGCTCGACGTTCTGTATGAAGAAGCATCAGAAGAAGACGGTAGGCAGCGGAGCCTCCGCATCGCAATCCTCCGATGGATCGAATCCATCCGCCAGCACGACTGCAACGACAACGACCAGTACGTCCAGCACATCCTCGGCCGGTTCCAAACTCAACGGGAATAATAATAACAACAACAGCAGTAGCAACAACAATAACAACAATGGCCGGAAGAGTAATGGAAATTCCCCAGGGCGAGAGCCGGCCAGGATTAGTCCGGTGAGTCAGCGTTTTGCTAGTTCTTCAATGAAAAAATATTTAATACCTAATTCAATTGATTTGATAATCTTTTATAAATTATTTACAAAAACATTCTCCCATCTTTATTAACGGAACTTATTTGTCTAGATTTACAAATTTGCAGTGTTTCAACGCATTACAATGCCAAGTTTGTTAACAAATTGACGAATTGTATTAGGGAGTAATTAAAAAAAACTAGTTTATATTTGTTTTGGGTCTACCCCGTTTGGCATAATGCCTTAGAAAAGTGTTATGTTGGTAGTGACGAGAGTAAATTTTAAAGCTGCTTATTTACTTTATTTTGTTTAGTATCAGGCATCTAAGCGTCTTATAATCATTGAACACAATTACAGATCTCAAGCTTTAGAATTTAAGATCTAGGGACAATTCTTCTGACTTTTTACAGTACACCAGATGCTAGTACGAGAATTGGGTACGCATATAGATGCACTTGGGACCAATATGCTAGTCAAGTAATGAGCCAATAGGTATTATCGATGTACCTCCAATGTAGAGTGTGCTAGGCGAGTTCGAGAGGAAGCGTCAACCAAACCGCTTGTTTACATCAGAATAAGGATTTTTAACAACTCAAATTAAAGCATTTTTCATTGAACATCTTGCCAAATTCCATCGATAATTGTTTTATTTTAGATCTAAACTGATTTGTATCGCAACTATTCACATACAAGAAATCTAGAAGATTTTAACCACTAGGGCACTATTTTATCGTGATCAATATGGGTGGCTTTGTGGAATACCTGTATAAACAAAGCGAGAAGGATTAGTAATTTCCACTTAATACCACTACTTTATTTGTTTATCCTTGACAGATACCCGTATTTCGTCTACAATGTGCAGACTTCTTCAGTGTCTTACAATAATACTCGACCAAGCTGCCGCTCATGGTATTTCCCATAGCATAAATCAGCAAGCCGAAAAAACACGTTATAAGTTCGCACTAAGTTCGTACTATTGCTTCTTATGCAATGGAATAACCCGTTTGGCTGTTTTTCCAAGCTTTTCCAGAACAAAGTTGTTGAGTTTATCCAGTATTATGAAACTAGAGGTGATTAGCTACCAGTTCCATTGAAATACTGAGCATAACTAGCATAAAAGATTTGTTTTAGCTATATTAAGAATTGGATTCCCTTGAAATTATTATCCATATTTCGATGCAGCTCTCCTCAGAATTTTTCTTTGATTAATCGATCGATCAACGTTTAAGAGATTTTCAGCAGTAGGTGATTGTTAGATGTTATTTCAGCATGATCAATTCATTTTGAATCCCCTTCCGGATCCGCTCGGAATGCTTCTTGAAGTTCATCCCGATTTGCTTTTAGTTCCCTTGAATTCTATTCACAATACCCATCAGACCTACCTTAGAATTCGCCAATTTTCTTGGAATACAGTCAACTCTCCATAACTTGATATTGAAAGGACCATCAAGTTATGGAATAAATACATAGTTTTGATCGTCTATAATTTTAAAATAACACTGAACCGAAATACTCCATTTTCTAGAATATATGGCCTTATATATTCATATGAATTCGAAAAATGGTTCAAGGAATAATTTTTATTGTTGAAGTTCTGAGTAGTTAATTTAATATATTGCGCTTATAAGCACAACACATGCCAGTTCTTTAAATTTAATATGTCAAGATTTCAAAGGTTCTGGTCATTTCTGGGTGTGGCACTATCGCCCTTAGAGTTTCCGGCCCTTAGGTCGAAAATCATTAGACCGAATGGCCAGACTTAAATAGGTTTAGACGAGGATCCTCACACAGTTATTTTTTTAAGATTTTAAACACTTAGATATTTGCAGGGCTGTTACAACAGGCGCGGACTTCGCGATTTTTGAGAATTTGTACTTTCAGTCGCGAAAATCGCGGAAACATTAAATGATGTCGCGAAAATCGCGAAGGGACTGATGTGCTGCCACAAAAATTGTGGATTCATTGTAACCTTTCCGCCCGGATTATTTTGCTATCAATTTTTAACCGGTTCTAACCAAACACCCTGCAAATAATCGAGAAATGATCTCAGTTCCATAAGTTACATCGGATTTACACGGAAATTCCCTGGGGTCTGTCCAATGTGAGACATTTTCATGGTTGTTTATTTCCAATATGAACATAACATTTTTCGTTATCAAATCATAAACGAATCGTATACATGCGAGTAATTGCCATGTATACCGGATATTCTAGGTTCTCTAAATCGCCCTGGAGTTCAGTTGATTTGTTCTACTATATCAACCAGGACTGCAATGATATCTGTAGTAATCAGATCTTTCAAAGTGCCGGACATATTCTAAGTGCCTATGTGCATCGTGTTCGACCTATTGCTACGTATACAAGATGTTATAGGTTCTGAAATCATTCTGGAGGTCAGATTATTTTTCTACTAAATCACCCAAGACTAATTCAATATCTGGTTGTGCAACTGTCCACTAAGTGTGTACCTACCCTACCAGCCGTACTGATGCACACTACAGAAACAGGTGCCGCTGGTAGTTGAATAAATGTATCTCTTCAGTGTATTGCATCCATTTGCATTATCAATAAAAGCAATAGTTCATATGCCTCCACTATGGCAGGACGGCCAAATAACACTAGTTTACAAAACAACATAAAAAGTGTGAACTTTAGTGGTTGACCAACGTTTCTAATGCAAAATCCTACGCTGAATTCAATGCCGTGGTCAGAAAAAATTAAAGTAGAGCCATTTTTGAGATATACAAAAATTTTGATTTTTTGAATGTTGGACAAAAGTACGATTACTAAAATGTCAATATCTTTGAAACTAGTGCACCAATTTTAAATATTTTTTTATGAATGTGAAGCTAAATAAATTTGCTATCGTTCACTAGAATATTATGTCTTAATTAAAAATTTAATGTTGAAGTCATTTAAAAATTTACAGCATTTTTTTTTTATTTTTCCTGCAAATTTTCCATAAAAATCTTGTTTAAATCAACATTTTTAATGGGATAAAAAGATTCAAAAAATCATTCCATAATTTATTCTTAAAGTCCATTAAAAACTAGAGAAAATGAGCCTTTAATGGATGAAATCGGTTGGAAATTGTCGAAGTTATGAAATTTTTTGTAAAATCATGGAAATTGAATATTCCAAGATTGGCCGTTGTCCCGCTCCTAGGTTCATGTACCACTTCCAGTAAGCCTTTCTGCGGACGTGTACGCATACGGTGCATTTCACTAACACTACCAGCTGTCACGCAAAATTAAATGGGATATTTTCAACAATATAATTTACGCTAGTGTTTGTGAGACCGCTCGGCGAGAACCTAACGCAACCAACTCAATTTGACAGCTTTCTTTCTTTAACATTGCTTAACGATGTATACGACAAAACGTGAATTCAAGTGTAAAAATGATCCTCAAAAGTTTTGTTACGCGTGTGGCAACTATATATTTACAAAATCGGTCAATTTCACTGCTTCGTTGCAAACTGCATACAGGCTTTATTTTAAAATTGATCTTGGAGACTTTGACGAACCGTGGATTCCAAAAGTATTATGTAGTTCGTGCAAAACGTGCTTGGCTAGGTGGATGTCAGGCGCAAGGTAAATTGATTTTTTGAATAACTTTCATATAAACAATTTATGTACAGCATGGTAGTGCTTTGTTCTTTCCTGATCGACATTATCTTACTTCATCTATTTTTGATAAGTGTTAATGTCTTACTTACTAACTCACTTATGGGTTATCTGTCAGTCGCTATTTGTCCTTTGACATGCCCACCCTATGGCGTCGACCGTTTTGTCATGCAACGGATTGTTATTTCTGCTTGACAAAAGTTAAGCAACAAGGACGTCACAAAACAGTTGAGTATCCACAAGTGGCTTCTATGACAAAACCTGTTCCACATTCAAGTTCGGTCCCGTATCCTGTTTATCCAAAGCGGAAACGAGCGCCCTCTGTTGAATCGACCGTTACAAAAAGTGAGGAGGAAATCAAGGAGGAATGCGAGGAAGACTTCGAGGTGGAATTGGAAAGAAACCCAAAACTGTTTACACAATCCGAATTTAATGATTTGGTGCGAGATCTCGACTTATCGAAGAAGAAATCCGAATTACTGGCATCACGCTTGAAAGAACACAACATGCTGAGCAAGGAGGTCAAAATTTCTTGTCACAGGAATCGGCACAAGAAATTTGACAAATATTATTCTACAAAGGACAAGGCATGTTTTTGCCATGACGTAAACGGCTTGTTTGAAGAGTTTGGTGAGCCATATGATCCAGCTGAATGGCGTTTATTCATCGATAGCAGCAAGTTGAGCTTGAAAGCCGTTTTACTGCATCAAGGGAAAGAGAAACCTTCTATTCCATGGAAATCGTTCCAGCGTGTTGTCACAACCTTTTTAGGAAATTTCAGAAGCCCAGATTATGAGGAAGCCGTCGATGAATTGCTCAAAAATTATCAGAAAATAGGTATAAATCAAAAATATTGTGTTTGTTACATATAATTAATTTCAAATCCTTTTATTTCACTGAACACAGGTGTGAATATGTCTTTGAAGATACATTTCCTACATTCTCACATGGATTTTTTCCCGGAAAATCTTGGTGACGAGAGTGATGAGCACGGCGAAAGTTTTACCAACAAATGAAGATGATGGAACGTCGTTACCAAGGGTTTTGGGATGAAGCAATGATGGGTGACTATTGTTGGTTTCTGATTCGAGAAACAAGTTCAAAACATCGAAGACAAACCCTAATAAACGGGTACCATACTCTAACGATATCATAGATGGTACGACCATCCCACATAAAGTTGGGATGATATCCCGAATTGGTGGTTAGGCGCTTCTTATGGTTATTGTTTATGCGGGAAGTCATTCGATTCTCAATCATTTTTAATAAAACCTAAATAAATTTCGTTTGTATCAACTCGGTTTTAAATCCTGATATGCCTTAATCAAATTGATATGTAGAGAAAATAATCTCCCATG